CCTGCACTTGACTTCAGACGGAAAGCACAGCCTGTTACTGCCGAGTGTGCACTTCCGCCGCGTCTGCCGTTGTCGTGGCTGCCACGTCTGTGAGTCTCTGATGCTACTCATCGCGTCTGTCACTCCGCTTCTCTGCATGGCTCAGAGCTCAGTAAAACTCCAAAAACTTCTGAAACGTGTGGCCGTTCACCACCATAGTCCTCAGTTTCTGAAGGTGCCAGTGTAAAACCCAGTCTCCCCCATTTGTAATTAGGGAAAATTCCAGACATCCCCCCAAATGGAGAGAAGGCCGCAGCGAACCTTCAGAAATCTGTCATCCAGCTGCACTAATTATCAAGATTTCTCAACATTTATTTTGTCCCTTAGCTCCCTGCCCCTCTTCCTCTGTTCAGTTGTCTCGTTCTTTTTTGCACTTCTCAACGTTTCCGAATCTGTTACTTGCTGTCTCTCAATATTTTTGAAAATTTGCCGTCATTTTGGCTTCGTATATGGCTTCTGTCCCAATCTCTCCCTGTCTCATTTGAGATCCCAGTTAACATGTATAACGGCCGGGCCCCTCGTCGCTTTCCATTTCATTGCCTCCTCCTGCCTTACAATCGATCGTTCTCTTGACCGGCCTTCGAGTTCACCCGTTCTTGTCTTGGCTGTGCCAGACCTAATACTGAACTGTTCAGTTTTCTATTTTTCAGTTCTAGAATTTTATTGGTTATTTTTAACATAATCTTTGACTTTCTCCTAAAATTCTTTCTTATTATGTAGGTCTCAGATGTACTCATTACAGTCATTCTAAAGTCTCTGTATGAGAACCTTAATACCTTAGCACCGTGGGCCTGTTGCAGTGTATTTTTCTCTTGGTATTCAGGCAGTCCTTGTTTTTTTTGTGTTCCTGCTTGTAACTCTACCGAGTGCAGGGCATTGGATAGAGAAATCGGAGAGCTAATTGGAGGTTCAGGATGGTGTTATCTTCAATTAAGGAGAAGCTGCCTTTTGCTCTTGGTAGTCAGGGTAGAAACAGATCCCCTTAATCAATCAGGGTTGGATTGAACGGCTCCGTCTTTGGAACGGCTGGTCTGCTTCTGGCTTCCCACTCTTCCTAGATCGTAGCCCTTCGGGGTCCAGAATGAAAGCAGGGATGTTTACCGTGGCTCCCTCTCACCCCGGGTGGGCCCTGAGCCTCCGTTTCTGCATCCCCGTGTCTGTGAGGCTGCCCATCCTGCTCAGCGCTTAGCCTGTCTGCCTCTCCTCTCCAACCAGCAGAGGGAAAGTGGCAACAAACACAGCCGTGACCTTGGGCTCCTGCGCTTTCTGTGATCTTGACTCTTCGGGTCCCCTCTCCTCAGTGGGTCTTTCACACCTTCGAGCAGAAAAAAAATTTTTTTCATCTAACTTTTTTTGTTTGGTCTGAAACAAGCTAACTCACCATTACTGGAAGGAGAAATCCTGCCTAATAAGCTTAAAACAAATCTCAAGCATTACATTATTTTATCCACACACACTTCAGTTTATACCTCTGAAAAACACTGTGGGTCTTTTCTTAGGTAGTTGTGATGCAACTTCACGTTCAGATTTCCTAGATTATTTCAGAAATATCTTTTATATTTGTTTTGTTTGAATTAAGATGAACAAGGTCTATGTATACATTAGTTGTTGTATCTCTTAACTCTCTTTCGGATCTAGAGAGTTCTCTTCCACTGCTGGCTTCTCCTTTTCACACCATTGACCTTTTGAAGACCCTGGGTTGAGGTCCTGCTGGACTTCCCACATCTCAGATTTAGCTGGTTGCTTTTACTTGTCTATCATTTGTTATTCCTACGAAGTGGAATTTAACTTCATGGGTGTCATTAAATTCCGTTTGTCCCTCCCCCTCCTCTCTCTCCCTCTCTCCCATCCTTCCCTCCTCCTCCTTTGACTCGAAGGTGCTTTCTAGTTCGTGCCGAAGAATTCCTGCTGCAGCTTCCCCACTGTCAGGTGGTGCCTGGTCGTCCCACCTTAGCGATGCTCGGATGGATCGCTGGGTGCGGGTGGTAACAACCTAATCCATCTGTGGTGGACTCCTGCAGCATTCTTTCCTCTGCTGGCTTTATCCAGTGGTGCTTTTTTCCTGGGTGAGTTGTTTTTTCAGCAGTTGCAAAATTATTTTTCTAATTCAATCACCACCTCACATTCGTCAATTAATATTCATATCCTAGAGCTGTTTGGTTACTCTGATGCACAGTTCATATAGGCAAGTTAAGTTCTCCTTTTACATTTAGAAATGTTTTTTTTATATCGGTTCAAAAAAAATAGTCCTAAACCAGGGGCGTCAAACCTCTTTTCACTGGGGGCCATGTCAGCCTGCGGTTGCCTTCAAAGGGCTGAATGTAATTCCAGCTCCTTAACAGTTGAGGAGTAGTTACATTTCCACAGTCCTAAATTTATTTCAGCCCTTCGAAGGCACCCGCCAGGCTGATGTGGCCCCCGGTGAAAAGTTTGACACTCCTGCCCCAAACAGTACATGGTTTTCCTACCCAACGAAGGCCAAACCGCTCTCCGTAATGAAGCAGTGTGATTGGTCACTGCATCACACAGGACACCTCAGCGAGGCCAACAGCCTGGGTCCGGCCATCGGGTATTTCCTTCTCTGCACCCTTGAACTTGAGACATTCCAGTTCCCTGACTCTCTGCCTCCCTGTAAAGTATGGCAGCGAGAGCTCGGTGCTTATGGGTCTGAGTGCATGTGCTGCTGTTCTCCGCTCATTCACTAAACGCATTCCTTCCTGTGCACTGATTCACAGAAACACTGAAGGCAGCTTCCCACGGGGCCCTTCTCCGGGGAGCACGTGTCTCTGTGCCCGTGAGGAGAGACGCCGCACCTGCACCAGAAGAGCGCCTCGTGGGCTGAGCTCGGTGTTGCCTGGATAACATGTTCTCTGCTTCTGAATCAGAGTCAGCTCTGACTCTGCTCCACCCCAGCCAGTCACCAGGTGCCACCGAGTCAGCATCAGATCCTTGCTTTCTCTTCTTACTGCCACCATCCTGCTGTAGGGTCTCTTTTCCAATTTTCTTTGTTTTCTATGCCAATGAAACACTCTCAGTGCCCTTCGGTAGTGCCTACGAGCAGAAGTTCAAGCTCCCTGGCTTCGCGTTCATGTCTCTGTGCCACTGGGCCTCACACTCATCTCCTCTCCCCTCCTCTGCCCACCCGACCGGTGCACTTTGCGTTCAGCCTCTGTCCCTTCCCATGCCCTGCACACTTGTCCAGGTAGCCCTTGCCCCTTCCAGGCTCAGCCAGCTCTGCCGCACTACAAAACGGCGCCTCTCACCACACCCCTTCCTGTCTCTGGGGCACCTGCTGTCGGCCCCGTGTCTGGCAGCTCTGTGTGTCATGCACGCCTCTCTGCATCACTCTTTAACTTACCTGGTGTCTGCAACTAGACTGTCTGCTCGCGAAGGGCGGGACTCACCCCGACTGCTCCGAGTCCCTCCCAGCACCGGGCACAGGACCTGTCATCCTGGAGGTACACCTTCCCAATCCCACCCCCCGTGTTAGTCCTCACCACCCTCACGCACCCCTGATGCACCCCTGGTTCAGGCTCTTGGCTGGCCTTGATTTTGGACAGTCCTGTGATGGAAGATGACTCGCAGGCCCTCCTGTCTCTTCGTCGCTGTCACACACGGTCAAGTTGATGAAAGTCCTGCCCTCAGTGGGGAACTTCTCCCAGCAGGAGTGAGCTTCTCCAACTGTCTTTGGGCAGATGTTCCAGCAAGAATCGTGATTGTTACCCCACATGGCAGCCGGGACACTCTAGACGCAACCCAGACACACAGTCCACACCCTGCCGGGGCTCCGAGACCACTCAGCACGGATCCTGTGGAAGGCTGCCTACCGGCCCTCCCTCCTCATCCTCTCCTGAGCAACCGTCTCTTCGTTTTTCATGCCTTGAAGCATCCGGAACAGGGCTGTCACGGCACATTCATGCCCCTTTCTCTGCCATCCCTGACTCTTCTCCTGACTGACAGGACACACCTCCACTCAGTGGGGTGATTATTAGTGTAAAACTACTTTTTGGCCTTTAAGTTTAATTATGCCACATTTATAGCAATAAAATCACATCTCAGACCCAGGTGTGCTTTTCAGGGAAATGTCCGGGACAATTACCTTCCAACAATGGTGTTCTGTACGGAGGCCTTTTGTCTGGGGATCTCCAGATCTTTTCCACACAAGTGGGTAATGATGTCCGTTCTGGGAGGGCCGAGCTGGACCGATTGATCTCTTGGCAGACGCAGCGGGGGAGAGAATTCCAGGACCCAGGTGTCTCCTTTGTTCTCCCCCCTTCCCTTTCCAGTTCTTTAAAGGAAGAATGGCCAAGCTTCCATTGATTTAAATACCTCCTTCTCAGATACTGCTTTCCACTTCTTAAACAGCACGAACGACACGTTTCTGTATCTCGTTTCACGGGGGAAGGGTTGAGGCCCAGGGAGAGGAAATGGTTTGCAGATACGTGCACGCTCGCCGGAGAACGCCTGGTCTCATCGGCCTCAACACTGTTGTGCAGCAGAGCGGCAACCGGGCCCGTGAATTCGTACATGAAAACCTGTGGGAGGAGTGAGTGGTCCGTGGCACACCCTCCCCAGGTCGTGACTCCGGGATGTTGTTAGTGGTTCCCACGGGCAGGCACGCGTGGTCCCCTGTGGAGCACGCCCCTGCTCGTGCCGACAGTTGGGAGGCACGTCCCTCCCCCCACTCAGCCAGGCCGTCCCCAACCCTTGGGAGACAGCGGAAGGCCTGTCTCCCTCCTGCGGGAGGCCCTTGCGGGTCCAACCAGTAGTCACTTGTCTCTCTCCCTTCGTAACACCCGTGTCATTCTCTGGGTTCAGTTCCACGCACCGGAATCCAGCATGGCCGTGTCCGGAGCTCATTCACAGTCATGCCTGTGGTCTCCAACCCTGTGGTCTCCTGCTGAAAGGCTGGCTGCAAGGGACAGAGCCACTGACACCATTTGCCGTTTGGTTTCTTCCAGGATCTTCTTCCCAGGAAGCCACCCCGTCAGAGGTGTGCAGGTAATGAAAGTCGGCAAATTGCAGCTGCACCAGGGCATGTTTCCCCAGGCGATGAAGAACCTGAGACTGGTGAGTGTGCCGACCTCGAGCTGTTCTGCCGGAATACCCTTTCCCGGCCGTGGCCGGGCCCCGTCCTCGTGATTTTTTGCAACTCTACACGCGCGTGTCTGCATGCACATGCACACTCGTGTACACGCACGTGCCCAAAAATAGTTAACAACTAGCTCTGAAAACCACTGATTTGTGATGTTTGCTGATGTCTGTGATATAAACATGCCCTCCGTGGTTGATTTTTAAGTTAACAATATAAAACCAACCAGCTCACAAGAATCATGAAAATTTAATAATCATTTCTCGCTGATACAAACTGGCCTCAGAACCCACGGTGAATAGGATGCCCTTCCCCCGCCTCCCCACCCACTGTCCACAGGACATAGTCCATACTCCCTGTCTCGGGCAGGCCAGCCCCTTGACCGTCTCCCTCTTTGCACCCTCCTCCCTCTCCCCACACAGCCACCGTGCACCGGGCCAGTCCCCAGGACCAGAGACACCCTGGACTGCTCACACTCGGGTCTTCACAAAGCAGTTTCTGCTGTCTCAAATGGCTCCACCCCTGCCCGCCCCAGGCCTGGCAGAACTCTGCCCATCGTTTAAGGCCCGGCCCAGATGTAGTTCTCTCCCTGTCCCCCCACAGCTCTCTTCACTCTACCAGCAGATAACTGCCCCCATAGGAGTAGGGACACCTGGCACCCCTGCCACCTCAGGACACCGAGGTCCTGTGGTTATCGCTGTACCCAACTCCGTGCCATGTAAGGTACCCAAAATTTAGGAAGTGTTTGTTGTTGGTGGATGGAGGGAGGTCATACAGTGGCAGCAAGAAGTGCCAGATAAATAAGTGGGAGAGTTGGGTCAACTTTGGGAAACGTGATCAGAGAGGGACATGTACTTGTCGCCCTCCCAGTGGGTCTCCTCTGCGAGGACCAGGAGCTCCTGACACCAACACAGAGGAGAAATCGGAGGAGATCTGAACTTCTCTGTTCCCCATGGGAGGCGTTAGTACAACCCTTGTACGCAGCTCTCCGAGCAGGCATCTGATACCCGCAGCGGCAAAGGCACCCCTGCAGGGGCCCAGACAGACAGCTAGACACTCCTTACTTACGGGAGAGTGTGGGCGGGCGGATGGCGCTCGCCGTCACCAGCCCTTCACGTGACACTCTCCCTCCTGCCCATTTCCACTCTTTCTTCCTTACATTCTTATCGTTGGGATTGTCTCACCTCCTCCAGAAGCATCCTTTGGTCGTTGTCACAGCATCCTCCCCTCCTGGTACCAAAGATAAGCCCAGACATGGACCCAGGTAGCTGCCAGATGAAAGATCTCGGAGCGGCATCAGTAAGTCTGGTGCGAGGACTGGGGTTAAGGCATGGCCTTGGTCCAGACTTCCTGTTCGGCTCTGGAAAATCACTCTCGCTTGTCCTGATGATCAACCAGAGAGCAAACGCACATCGCTGGCAGTGTGCGTAATGGAAAGAGCACTCGGATTTACTGGTTTCGTGACCCGAGGCGTCTTTTAATCCCTTTGAATGTCCTTTTCTTACTTTAGAAATGGGCAGAATCCCTCCTCCACAGAGCTGTTTTAAGCAGTATGTGAGGCTGTAAGGGTATGTTCTGCCGAGTCCCAAACATCTGGGGACTCTACAGGGTCACTGTTTTACAGGGACCCTTCTCACAATCACTCCCACCTGGTCCCTTTAGCACCGGGCGAGGTTTGGGGTTCTGCTGTGCTCCCCCTTCTGAGCTATTAGGCTGTGTAACCTCTCCAGGGTGAGTGGGAATCCTCCAAGGGACCCTTGTGGGTACATTTGGCTTCTCCTGGGGCACCTGACATAGACACACATGCCCCAGATGCAGCAGCTTCTGTCAGATCGATCCTTGAATGGATGGATTTTAAAGAACAGAGGACTCTGTAAGCCCCGCCTTGGCCGTGACTTTTTCAGCTGTATGTAGTTAACGGGCCCGAGCTTCTCAGGACCTTTGGTGACCATTGCCTGGCAGAGGCGTGGCCCGAACATCTCTTCATGAGCTCAAGTGGCCTGTAGGTCGGAAGCAGACCGGTTCTGCAGGAAGCCTCCCTGAGTTTTCTCGGCACTCTGGTGACCCGAGAGGAGAAAGGGAAGATGCATGCTTTGCCTTTTGAAACGAATGTTCTCTTTCGACTGGCACCCGAGATATTCTTTCTTGTCTTAGAGACTCTGGAAATAATGGGATGAAATAGCTGAATAAGGGTTTCAAAGGCTGAGTCCGGGATGGAAATCAGAGAAGCTTCAGGATCAGACATTGGTCACGATTCAGTTGGGCCCCAGCCGCCTCCCGGAGAGGAATCCGCTCGGCCCGGCTCTGATTCGGGTTGGGGCTCCCTCTCCGCTGCGCTCGGCTGAAATCCTTGCAGTTGCTGCCACAGGACTGTCCCGGGTCCCTTCCCAGTGCCTTCCTGTGGCTTCCTCCCTCTCGAATCTACTTTCCTTACTTTCCATCTATTCTCGGAGAATTTTGTTAGGCACTAATTTGACTTCTTGGCCCTGGAGGGCAAGTGTTCGTAGCACGGCTGTCCTGCCAGGGAGCCCATTTCTGTTCTGCCCGCTGCGCCGCCCTCACCCCACAGCAGGCTGGTGGTTTGGTTAGCGGAGGTCGGTTGGAAAAAGTCTGACTTCTTGCCCGCCAATGACCAGTGACCGGTTGTTAGTTTCTTGTAGCGCGCTGTGATGGCTGTTTCATTTTCTTTGCATTTTGTTGAAGCATTTTACGTTTTGAGGGTCTTTTGTATCTTCCCTGGGCCCAAACAGGAGCACAGGCCGAGGTTCTGGCACAGTTGGTAGCTAACCCCACACACGCAGGGCGGTCTCGGAGCATAACCCCACCGGTCTCTGTGGACTCCACCCTGCACCCCGACTTCCAGCCCCTCGAGTGGCTGGTTTAGAGCAGCAGTTTCGCTGTTCCCATTTCTTAATCTGCTACAACAGTGGCTGCTAACCTCTTTGGCCATGTTGTTGTTTAGGAATCTGATGAAAACCACCGACTCACCAGAGAAAAGTGTGTATTTGGCAGGGAAGGGGGCTTGAGGGCCACCTGAGGCCCCCGCGTGACTCGGAAGTGCCCACAGCCCCTAGTTACAGAGCCTCCTCTCCATGCACAGTGTCACCTTACAGGTCAGGTGGGAGGGCAGGCCGAAGAGAGGTGTCACATTGTCACTGATGCCTTCAGAGTGTTGTTCCGAAGTCCCTGGCTCTGACACTTAATGAGTGTTCCCTGCTGACCTCCAAATTAGAGAATATGCCTTTCAAGAGAATGTTTCTGAACTAAAAACGAAAGAGAGAGAACATAAGAGAGAGATCAGTAAAATGAAAGTAATTCAGTGACAGTAAAAGAAACAAGCAGACATTTACCTACCAGTAAGCGTCAGCCTGGCGATGACTAGGCACCAGGTGGGGAACCCAGACAGGTACCTTCACCCGGCAGAAACGAGGTGCCATCCCCCCATTCTCCTGCTGGAGCAACATCAGCGGGAGCCCGCTAAAGCTGAAGGTCTGAATAAAATTCAGAATCTCCATGGAGTACTCACTGAGAACATTCATAAAAATCACTCATAATTATGAACCAGGAAGAGCTCAATTTTAAAGGAGAAAAAAAGCATCAATATATACCAACTCCAAGTACCAGACACACTAGAATTATCTGATAACATTGTAAAGCAGCCATCATAAAAATGTTTTAATGAGCAAGTACAGACACCCTCAAAACAAAGGAAAAAATTAGTCTCAACCAAGAAATAGAAGATAGAAGAAACAAATAGAAATTTAACAATTGATAGATATAATTACCAAAATAAACAAACTGGAGCTTAAAAACAGAGTAAACAGAAGAATGCTTCATGAACTTGAAGATAGAGTAATAGAAACTAGCTAATGAGAAAAACAGAAAACGACTAAAAGAAGGACAAACCTGAACAGAGCTTTAGGATCAATAACAGAAGACGTAACATTGGAGTCCCCAGAAGAGGAGAAATAGGATGGAGTAGAAAAAGAATTTGGAGGAATTATGATGAAGGCATCCGAACTGGACAGGAACAAGTGAAAAGACCTCTGTTCCCAGGTGATATGATCTTCTGTGGAGGAACAGCTAAAGATCACACACCTACACACCCACAACGATTAAAGCTAATACACAAATCCATCAAAGTAGCAGGACATGAAATCAATGTATAAAAAGTCTGTTGCATTTCTGTATGCTGACAGTGAACAATATGAAATGAAGTTAAGAAAACTGTTCCAGCCCTGGCTCGTATAGCACAGTGGATTAAGCTCAGGCCTGTGAACAAAAGGATCGTAGTTCGATTCCCAGTCAGGGCACATGCCTGGGTTGCAGGCCAGTTCCCAGCAGGGGACACACGAGAGGCAACCACACATTGATATTTCTCTCCCTTACTCCTTCCCTTCCCCTCTAAAGATAAATAAAGTCTTTTAAAAAACTAGCACAATTTCTTTAAAAAAAAAAAGAAAACTGTTCCAATTTACAATAGTGTCTAACAGAATAAAATACAGGATACAATTGACTTAACCAAAGAAATGGAAGAACTATAGACTAAAAACTATAAAACGCTGAAAAGAAATTAAAGAAGACAGCAGTAAAGAGAATAACATCCATGTTCATATCTCAACGGTGTTAAGATGTCAGTACCACCCAAAGCGATCTACAGCTTCTGTACAATCTCTATGAAAATCCTGATTTTTTTCCCCAGAAACAGAAAAATCTATACTAAAATTTATATGAAACCTCAAGGGATCCCAATAGCCAAAACAAAGCTCAAAAAAGAAGAAAAATGTTAAAAGACTCAGGCTTCCTGATTTCAAACTTTACTACAGATCTGCAGTAATCAAAGCAATGTGGCGGTAGTGTAAAGACACCATAGAGAATAATGAAATAGAATGGAGAGCCCAGAAATAAGCCTCACACACGGTGAAATTACTTTTGACAAGGCCCTATTCACAATTAACAAAAGGTGGAGACAACCCAA